CAGATACACGTAGGGTGTATATTGTTGGCTCTCCGTTTTGCCGAGGTGAGGTCAAGTGAATGACCACACTGGAATCCTGTATGTGTGTTTCGGAGACAGCATACATCAATGGAAAGAGAATAGGGTTTTAGCCAAGGAAGCCTGCTGACCGATTTGACATAGAGTGCGTACGTTGAAAGCTCCAATGTGTAGTTTGGAGCGAGGTTTCAGTAGACCTGGGACAGAGTTTTGAGCACTAGAATCGTTGGCTATGGTGACACTTGAGGAGGAAGCCGAAGGAGGAAGTTTGGGGTTGAAAGTTGATGTAGGAGAAATAATAGAAATTGAAGAGGAAGGTTGATTATGAATACAATCGTCTTGGGTGCTGTTAGAGGTATGAGGGCGGTTATCACTTTCCGGTTGCCCACACCGTGGAAGGGTTCTTCTGGAGGTACCTGAAAAGGAAATTGGATTAGAGACGGTCTCAGCGACCTGAGAGCGTGACCGCAGTGCCCAAGGGACAACTGCTTGAGGCTGGTCGCGCACGGTCTTTTCGTGGAAGGCTTTTGACGTGTTAGCTCCGTTCTTCAAAGGGCCTTACCGCCAGAGACGGAAATCCGTGAGGTAAGGTGAGGTGTGCATTTTTAGGGTCGACCTTTTCTAACCCCACTCCTCCTTGTTGGAAGGCAGCATCGCTGTCATGCTGGTTGTCTGAAGGAAACACCTTACTGCAGTCACACCTCTGTACAGTCAGCAGTACGACTTCGCCTTCGGACCTTAGGTTTGTTGCTTTTAGTCTTACCGCTCTTCAACCGACCTGTCTGACATGGTAGTACCTTGAGGAACGGTTGTTCCAGCCAGTAAAGCTCGGTTGCTTCATCACGATAGGCAAGCCCGACCACCACGTCAAGGTAGCAACAACGATCGGGAGTATTTGACCACAGATGCCTTAGAAATATTGCTCGCATCTGCTGGGATCACCGGGCAAGTAATAGCGGGGTTAGACGCATGGTATTAGGGAATGATGGTAAATCAGTTGGTGAGGTTGTGAATGTTCATCGACTGAGATTTTTGGGCCATGTGTTGCGTATGCCTGAACACCAATTACCACGACGCGCAATTCTAACTAGTGCTCAAGACGGTTGGAAGAAAGTTAGGGTGGTCAAACCAAAACGAGGCATCAGTCCACAAAGTCACTAACTTCTAGTCTGAGCCATGTTGGTAGATGCAGATTAATTGGTTGCGGTCCAGTGGTTGGAGACTGGGTGACATGGCTCGGAATCGACCACAGCGGCATATAAGTGTACACTCTTTGTCTTCTCTCAAACCGTGAGATTAAAATTACTTTATACCTTTCTTTCTACGAACTAATTCTTTCTCCCAGCATCATATCTTTGTATGCAATCTTTCTTTTATATATTACTACCATTGAAGTAACTGCTTCTATGAATTCGATGTTCATCTTGTGCTAATGAGGTATGGCAACTTTGACCGACATGTATATGTGCCTGGTCCTATGTTGTAGCTGACTGACTGAACTCGAACCAATGGACATATGTACTAGGTTATCCTTGAATTGTGGTTAACTGCCTAATTTTTTGGTTTTCGATAGTTTTCGTTCTGAAACCAACCGATAATGTAAACTATCTTGAAACTGAACAATCTTCAAAAATTTCCTATACTATTTTCAACTTTATTTGCCTCAATACGCGCTTGTTTCAGACATGGAAGTTCTACTTGTTTGGTGTAACAGATAAATCGAAACGTCACACCTTTTCCGATAAATCAAATACCTTATTGTGTTCGTAAAATACTTGGAGGCTCCAAATGTGTAGTAGCTGACTGACTGATATAAAAACCATGCTTATCCGGGTTCAACTTATCGTAGTGTAGTTAGCTTGTCTCTAGGGTTATCAGTCAAGTCCAATATTTTCGCGTAAGGTTTCTGAGATTCAATTACACTTAAATCTCTGGATTTACTATGGTTTGAACGGGAAATCACTTACATTTAACCCTCATAAATTCAGAGTAGATTAGTATCTAGATATTTACCTGAACTGTGAAGTAGATTCAGTCATTTAGATATTCAGTATGGAAATTAAATCAATCTAGCATCAGAATAAGCGGTACATTAGTCCGGTTTGCTTGTCAAGAGTAAATCTTATTTACTTTTGAAGATTTTTCAAGGAAAAATCTAGTAAAGCACTGTTTTCTTTGCTCTAAACTCGTGGCTTCATGCTAGTAATATTAAGGAAATAAACATTTATTTAGACTTTGTTGAATATTAAAATACCTGAACTTTCGCAACAGCTTGATTAATCTTGGAAGTGTCTTGACTGGAGTTCTAGTTATCATCACAAAGAATTACTCAGCTTCTACGATAATCATACTAACCATTGGCCTCATAAAGTACGTTTTTTTGGTAGACAAAGGCAGATAGCATGAATAGCTAGGCACAAAAATGCTTTTTGGCTTAATATTTCACCGTCTTGTGGAGGAACTGTTGAATGACTTGATACGGAATAATTTAATAATACTGTTACCAAATATTTGAACACCTAACACAGAAAACGATTTATTTTATTTTATTTGAACATAAATATTCGTACAAAGGGGTACCGAATAAATATGCGCCACACAAGTCACTTGATTTGTGTGTGGGCTGTGGTACTATCCGGGTGCCCAAACCGAAGCAGGGTCTGAAAACGAGAGTCATGTTTGATTACAGATAATGGTAGACGAATATCGTACCTAGAGGATGAGAAAGGTATCCCACGTGTTGCGTACCTGGAAATTGTAAGGATGCTTAGCTAAAAGTGTCCGTTGGCATTAACAAGGTTAGGTAAATTATCGATCATCTGCTAAGCTAAATTCTATGTGATAGGGTCGTGAGACTAGTTTTATGTTCCTAGCTAGAAGTTAATCGTTAGTTAACATTTCTATTAGCTCAGCATTCGTGTATCTACTTTTATATTAGGGTGCCATATGGTGAATATAGATAATCAATAACTGAGTACAATTTTTCTTTCCAATTTTCTTTATCCTCATTTCATGTCGTACTGGAAAAAAATATATATGAAGATTCCGAAATTCAATATTTAGTAGAATCCCTATTTCGTCATTCTTAGATTTTTTGGAGCTAGTCGGCGTGGTTTTGAGAATACAGGTTGCCTTGTCGAGATAAGGTGTACTTCATTACTGATTATATATAGTAATTTTATTATTGCTTGAGTAAGTTCGGGGTATTTGTTGAGTATTGATTGAAAGTACGAATGTACTATATTCGTGAATGTGACTGAATGTAAGCTACAGCCGGATGATTTTGGGCTGCCAATCTTATTTTGTATTATGCCGCTTAATACATGGTTATCACAGCTATACCTAGGCAGATCAAATAAATCTAATTGAAAACAAACATGGATGAACAAATCAATTGTGTTGTGTGCATTTACTTATCAAACGTCTGTTAGATGTCTTTTCCTACTCTTTCTCATAAAAATTTTTAAAAAGCCAATGGATATAAACTGATTTTGATGTATTATGGTGATATTTCAAGCTAACTTTTTTATTGCTTGTTGAAATATGATGACATCTTTCTCTGCATGCTTTCACTCTTCTAAACAGATAGGCTTTTTGTATTCCGTTAAGCCTTCCGAGTAATACACAAGTTCCTAGTTGTGTTACTTTTGCTGTTATCTCAGTGTGAACACTACAATAAATGTAATCATATTTGATGTATAAGCACATAATACAGAATTATTAACATTTCACGGTGTACCTTCTTAGGGGTCTTCCTCATGATGAAGACAAGTAGTTTAAATTCCTTAATAACATTTAAAATTACTGACAATGTTGTAAACGGATTTACTGTTTTTTTTTCTGTTTGTGTTAAACATGTAACTTTGCACTTATTGTTCCATTTCCACTTAAATCTTTGTAAAGTTTAGTATTTTTAAATTATTATTTTCCTTACCATTACATAACGTAATTATCTAAATCGATGCACTATCTGTAGTAAATACAGTCTTGTTTGGTTGAGTGGTTTCTGAATCATAGCAAGATTCATATATTGACAGATCATTGCCTCGACTTTTGTTACAAATATTTGATTCCCCATCAACCTCATTTATATCGTCCTACAGATTCATTAAAAATTCGCTAAGCTTAGAAATAGTGAGTAAAAACAGCGAATTGTTTAAATAAAGATGTTATTTCACAAGTTGAAATCATGAGTCAGTTGAAGCTAGACCACCATTGAAAACCTGGAAGCACTGGACGGCCGTTTCGTCCTAGTATGGGACTCCTCAGCAGTGCGCATCCACGACCCCGCACCACCCGGGGCTCGAACCCAGGACCTACTGGCTTCGCGCGCGAGCACTTAACCATTAGACCACTGAGCCGGCATCCGGGGTCGTGGATGCGCACTGCTGAGGAGTCCCATACTAGGACGAAACGGCCGTCCAGTGCTTCCAGGTTTTCAATGGTGGTCTAGCTTCAACTGACTCATGATTTCAACTTGTGAAATTTCTAAAAATCTCCACAAAACCCATTCTGATAAAGATGTTATTGTTTGGGTACATAATTGCTTTCAAGACTACTTTTATATCGATGTATATGTTGACTAATCATGTCTAATCTATAATCATTGCAGTAACTACTTAACACGTGAATGGAATAATAATTGACCATCCATTTTCTTAGTATAAAGAATACAGATTATTAATGATGCGTTTCTTATGTTTCATTCTTGTGGCATAACAATATTTCTAGTATTGTTTGATCTGTCATATGTGTAATCGTTCATCATTGAAATGCATCCAGAAGTGAAACTTCTCTGTGTTAATCTAAATAATTTTTATTTGATTTATCGTTATTGTTTTCAGAGGATTTCAACTGTGTCTTGTCTGGCTGCACATATTTTGTTACAGCGGTTTAGATATTTACATAGGTCTAACATTTTTAGTTGTATACGTGTTAATCGGTCTATCTATCCATATCTATTTGTTTTTGTTTACTTCTAGGCCGAGTTGGAACAGCTGTGGCATTACGAGCCCAAGCTTTTGGATTTCATGTAACATTTTACGATCCTTATCTTCCAGATGGGATCGAACGATCATTGGGTATCGAACGTGTTTACAGTCTTCAAGATCTACTATTTCATAGTGATTGTGTCACTTTGCATTGCTCACTTAATGAGCAAAATCGCCATATGATCAATGAGCATACAATAAAGCTAATGAGACCGGGTAAGATATTCAAAATATAGATGTTGAAATGATGTGTATATTTTTCAGCTCAGTTGAATAAATTTTTGTGTTTTAAAGTTCTCTGCGCTATATAGTTTTATTTCAAATCTTGCATTGATATAAGTTGGTGTATACAACGACGGGCATAAATCCAACTGGGAATACATCAGAATTCTGAATCGAAAGCATTCTAGTAATGTCAGGGAATTTCTGGAATCATGACGTTCAGATCAATTAGCACTTTAACGGGCATGTCGAATTAGACCTAATTTGTCAACCCATTCGAAGAATGTCAGTTGACATGGTCAGAGATCGACAGAAAAAAATAGTCGATTTGAATGCAGGGACAAATGAAAATACTGAAAACAGCCTATGACAGTAACCAATCACAAACAAGGGCAACGGAACAAACTGATTTATAACTCGTGGGTTAACTAAAAAGCTCATTTCTACATGAAATACGCGCTAATGATGTGGTTTTGAGCGACAATGGAAGTATCGCAATTAAACTTTCTAGCTCAGAGAAGCCAACGACATCGATATTATGAATATGTATATAGTATATCAACAATTCATAAAAAAAATTATTATAGTAAATAAGATCAAAATTCAACGATTGGATGATGGAGTGAAAGATTTCGTTCAGGCAATTACAACCATTGAATGTAGATGTATTCTAAAAAGTTAAATTTACAATACAAATAAATTATTTTTTGTAGCATATCGTGATTTAATCCTGATTTACAGGATTTAAAAAAATTACTAAATGAGATTAAACTAAATGCAATAAATTTTAAATAAATCTTATTAAATCGACTCTATCTTTCAATTATATATATATATATATATATATATATATATATATATATATATATATATATATATATATATATATATATATATATATATATATATATATATATATATATGAAAAGTGCCGCAGTACATTGTAACTGGCTAATTCGATATGTGCTCAACTTTGTAGATGAATGTATGATTTTTAAAATGGAAGTCTCAATTATCATTTATATTAAAGATAATATAATATAGTATTACTTTTCATAATTAATAATTTGTGCGTATACCTTTCAAATATTTGGCTTCATTCAGAAAATAGGTTTCATTTTTTACCATCACAAAATGAACAATCATTTCTTGATTGTTGTTTTGCTTTTAAAGTGATTTATTTGTAAACCCAGATAAAAGATAAATAACTAATTTTGTTCATTGTGATAACATATTAGTCAGTTTACATTTGAAAACACTTCTATAATTTTGCATCATAACAAACTATACAGAAGTCACCTTCTTTGTATTGATTCACTCAACTCCTATTGAACAAGTTGCACTGGGGAATGTTTTGGTAATGTACTTTTCCTTGCTCACGAACACTTTCCAGAGTGTCCAAGCTAAGTAGTAGTTAAAACGATCAATAGTTCTATCCTAGCTCATTTAGTTCAAACGGGGTTACACAGCCAGCGTGAACCAATCATTTACAATCAGTCATTTACTACTATTATTGCTACCACTACGACTACTGGTTGTGTTACTACTACTTATCTGGGATTTGTTCTAATAATTTCATCTCACCGTGCTTATATAGTGTGAGGACTTTATCCGTTCCATATATATCTCAGATGCGCTGACTGAATTTCTAAACTATTTACAATACACTACCAGACTAACAATGCACCGCAATAACTAAATTTTAATTATCAGTCTGAATTTGATGATCGACAAAAAAAGGTGATAAAAGGCAATTACTTTCTAAACTCACTTGTTAATATTTTACCTATTAATCGAGTAATTGCTTAAACTTTGTTCCTCTTTTAGGTGCATTTTTAATCAATACTGCTCGAGGTGGTTTAATTGATGAAGTAGCCCTTGCTGCTGCACTTAAGGAAGGTCGAATACGTGCTGCAGCATTGGATGTAACAGAGACAGAACCATTTGTTTGGAGTAATAGTAAGTTTTTCGCTATATAATCTGATATAATTCATGTATTGTTGAGACTTTTGCAGTTAAATTAATGTCAAAAATAATGACTGATCCAAATGCTTTATATCAGTGATAGGTTTTTTGGGAATTGTGTTGTTTTAGTATGTCATAATAAACCGATTGTATATGTTGTTGGAGTATTGGAAGTAATCGGCACCAAGCTATGAACTATGAGCTATTTAGTTCATTTTACGTGGTACAGATACGTGTAATCGGCTTTGAGCCGTGCTTAAAGATTGTGATACTACTCGACTGTTTAAATCAAAGTGAACAAACCGAGGTTCAAACCTCCATCTTAGTGATTGAAAGTCGAATACCCTGCTCAGTGAGACAGCTCTTCACATTTCACAAGGAATATCTATTCTGTCTCTTATGTGGATGTAAATCATTCATTGAAGTTTGAAATATTGCTGTTAGACTGTCCGGTTAACGACCTACTTCCAAATTGCCAATTTTATTCCTGAAATGTTTATTACGATAGGGACTATCTTGAATCAGAACTAGACTATTTGATGTATACGAATAAGCAATGGTATTATATTTGTCTAACAGAATAAAACTGTTTCTTGCGAATTGGACTGGAAAAGGTCGTAAACATGCGTGAATGTAATGTACTTAAATCTAAGAATAAAGTGTGTAGTTGTGTTCGATCTAAATTTCTGTCAACTTTGAAAATTCATTCTACTTCAAACTGAAGTAAATTTTGAATTCATTTTATGTAAATATTTTATTATTACAGGTGCTTTAAAAGATGCTCCAAATCTTATTGTAACACCTCATATGGCATTTTACAGTGAATCAAGTATGCGTGAAATGCGCGAGGCAGCTGCAAATGAAATCCGAAGAGCTATTTCAAGTCGCATACCAGACTGTCTTCGAAACTGCGTCAACAAAGAATTTATGCCCAATGGTGGTTCGTCATTATTTTCTCACGGTTGTTCCAACAATAGTCTATCCAATAATATCAATAATAATCCCCTTCTTAATAACAATCATCTGTCTCTTGGAGCAGGTATACCTGGTGTTAATGCCCTCAATAGTAGTGTAGCTTCAGGACTAGAAAACGCCGCACGTGGTTTACATCCAGCAGCTGCAGCTGCAGCGTTTGGTCTTTCAGCAGGTCTTTTCTCTTCTGCTGCAGGTGGAGGTTGTGGTCTTGGAGTAGGTGCTAATAGTCTCCCCTTCCCTGCTAACCTAATTGGTGGATCGGGGATAGGTCTGTCAAATGCCGGTGGTGGAGGTATTCTCACCAACAGTGGTGGTCCAACAACAATCCCGGCCCTCCCTCCCCCTCCTGCCGTTGCCGCGGCCGCCGCAGCCCATCTAGCTGGCCTTCCTCCCGTCTCAGCGTACGCCAACTTCTTTCCTCCTGGATTAGCCGCTGGTTTAGGCCTTCCTCTCCCCCCTCCGCACGCTGCATCTTTGGCTGGCGTAACCGGATCCTTAGGAGGTACAACGACTGGGTCTTCAACGAGTGCAACCTCAGGCAATTGTACCAATAATTCTACTTCAGGCTCAGGAGGTCAGACAGTCAGTTCCCCCTCACCTGCAACCAGCGGTTGTATCCCCGGTGTATCCAGCAGTACTTTTGATAGCGTACATGCCAGGCTTGCTGCCGCCGCCAGTCTTGTTGCTTCGGGTCTAAATCCGAGGTAAGTGTTACCGTTGCATTAATTTCGCTTTTCATTTGTAAATAATGTACAACTTAAAATAAAAATTTCAGCACTGAAAAAGGTACTTTCAGCTTCTTGCACTTGGTATAGTTGACTAATTTTTATTGACTAACGGGCAGAAGTTATTTACTCACTTAAGACCGACTCACTGCCCTTTTATGTAGCAGTATGTGTGTTCTTGTATGGTACATATATTTTATACTTTTACATGAGTGTAGTTAACATAATAACGTGGGTATTAATTTCGCTCGTAAAAAAGTTTGGAGTTCATATTAGTTAGCTATATGACAGAACAGACAAATACGTGAAAGTTTCAGGATTTTAAAATTAGTTAACTTCACTATGATTGCAGCTCTGATATTGATATACATAACAGATTAGGCTTTTTCATTCAGTTATTGCGAATTAATCCATGCATGCGGTATTTGCTCGACAAACAATTTATCTAAGCTGTATAACAAATTTTGTTTTTATTATGTTTTTTTCCTTTAAAAGTTAAATATATCTAAGCACATTTCTCTGGTTTACTCTCAAATAGATCAGAACTTAATAATTCTGATCTGTTTAATCGTCTTCAAATTTCGTAACAGTAAACTGATAATAGCACCTTTAGAGTAACTAATAGCTATAATGAAAAGTTTATTTTCTGTCGAATATCGATTTAATGAAATAAATATTAAGCTCTTTTTTTCATGAACATGATCAATATAATTTGCAGTTTTTTTTCTTTAAAGTGATGTTAATTATTTATAAAAAAGAACAGTGCTAGTATTTAACCTGTAAATTTAATTAACTTTGTTTTTCCCTTCTGTTTAACTATTTTCTCTTCCAGATCTTCATGATACTACACTTTTCTTATCAAAATTAATCAAAAGGTGTAAAGTGAACAAACTATATAAATGTTTTGCTAACTTTGAACTATAAGGGGATTTGTTAATCCTATCTACCTACCATGCGTATGTGTATCGCATGTGTACTTCATACATTAATAAAATGTTGTGTTATGATTTATTTTTTTAAATTAAAAATTTATACATCTACTCAGTGTGTTGGAGTTCATTCATTTATTTAATCAAGAATAGTTGGTTAGAAGCATTCGTTGCGGGTCAGGTGGGTACAAGAGTATCTTTTCGACTTACTGCAGTTACTGCTTAATTGAGCCGTGTCAGTTTCAAAAATCTTATGAATAGAGATGTTAGTCATAATACTTAAATTTTGACATACCGTCGCTGATCGTAAACATATATATGAAGATTTTAATTCAAAAATGGAAAATAGATAGTGGTCCAGTATTCTGAACTTTAGAACCAGTCGTTGTAAATTGAGTGAAGAGTCTAACGATTGATGTTCGCAATTTTGTTCGGGACTTCTATTATTTCACATATGTACCGAAATCGGTAAACTAGTTTCATTGTTTACTGGACAGAATTGTTAAGCTCTTTAGACAAAGTAAACTGCTGTGGATTTTATGATTAGCTTTGTTAATGAAGTCGTTCTGTGGGTCCAAAAGTATCTGATTTTACCGTCAATAGGTAATATATTCAGCTCTCATATTTACCAATGAAACTAGTTAATAAGTTAGTTTGAAAGCACGGAGATTTTTCGAAAAGTGTTTTAGGTCGTTCATAAAAGTCACACCTGGAAGTGATTGCGACTAATTGATCACAATTAATTTTCCACTTGTCAGGATTCATGGAGTTGAGACACGAAGACAGTTAACTGTAGAGAACTATACTTGACAATTCATACTGTTCGGGGGGATTGTATTGCTGTTAAGTAGATTTCCTTAAATGATTAGTTCAGCGAACACCAGTGTGAAGAACGTTTAGAATACTGGGTCTTTTTTCAGATACGTATCAGCAGTTTCATAAGGACATCTCAAATACAAGATGGGGTTATTCAGACGAAATTGATCTTTTGGACAATTTACTAAGACTGATTAATAAGGAAAAATCACTGAAATTTATAGCCGTTTGTTTTATTTTGTAATTTAAGTGTTACTGCTGAACATACACAACCCTAGGTTTACGGTGAATTCATGGGTTAATATAGATTTTAAGTTATTTTCCAGAAGGAAAGAGGTTATCTATTTTATGTGAAAGATGTAACGGGATAGTTTACCTGGTGATAGATTCCTTAATTTCTCAAACATACATGTATAATGTTTCGAATTATTAGAATTATAGCACGAACTAAGAGTCCAAGAAATAACGCAATTGAATTAAGAAGACATAGGCACAAACGAATGTACGGTATTTGGAATTCGAAATCAAGCCATCAACATGTACAGAAGTATCATCAGTCAATTCAAACACCACAACATGTCAAAAGTACGAGTCAGTAATTGCGGTTATATTTTGGTTTATTTGGTCAATCAGTTGTACATATATAGGAATAATTTCTATTACCAAAGTAATTGGGAATATTTCTTTAGCAAAATCGTATTTACTACATCTTATGCATTATTAAGTACTACATTTACATGGCGTTCACACACCTCGAGGACTACACAGGTTTAAGTATTCTTGGGGAGCATGCGCATGTGGCAGCCTATGAAATTTCAACTCAACAATGTATGGCCTAGATTATGTGACCGTGGAGCGAGGCAAGAAGATTCGAAAAATATTTGCCGTCTTTAAGACTAGTTTTGTCTCTACATTGTGGAGCCGTATCAACCACTACTTTTCTCTCATGAAAGTTGTTCGGATAATGACGGTCCTCGATCCAAAGTATCAGTGTTTGGGGGGGGGGCAAACAATGTATTCCTGAGTTTACATAGCACATCATCTCCTTTGGAGATTGGTCGGACTGCAATCGCTATCCTACCAAGTTGCTTTGCAATGCTTTATACCACCAACACTGCTGACCCACCTTTTGTGGTCGGTGTAAAAATCAGAAGTCAACTACGAAATTATGAAGTATGGGATGGGGTTGCAGAGCCAGTGAAATAACAATAACCCCTAGTCGAACCATACAGCAGTCGGGTCACTGAATATCAAGCAGTTAATCGAACCCCTACAAGCTCAAAGTCAACTAACGCTCATCAGTTAATCGTATGCTATGGACTGACCCATGCGGTGGTGGTCCTTTAAGTTGTTTAGTTAAGAGTCGGTCGCTTCTGGTCTTTTGGCTCAACGTGGTTTCTTCCTGCGTCTGCAGCGTTTCTGGTCCGCATCCCTACGAATGCAATCTTCAGATTCTGGATACAAACCACTCATGTAGCATGCCAACTCAAGCAACAAATACAGCACATCGCTCCTGGTACCGTTATCCGAAAACGACTTTCGTTGGCAACTCGACGACCAACGATTGCTTTCCTGTTCGCCAATTCTTCTGTCCTACAATCGCTCGTCAGTCGATCAGTCCCACGATTTAAACCGCTACTTATCGAAAGTGTAAACCCTTTCTAGCGGGGGGCTCCTGTAGTGACTCACGTTCATTACGAGAACACGACTGGTTCAATAAAAACAATTATTATTATAAACAGTTGTACCAGTGTTTGTTTTAATGTGCTTTTGTTTGACTGTGCTAATGACAGCTATATTGGGCTTCCATTCTTGTTCTTACACTTCGATTGTAATTTCGCGCGAATTCGGTTACCTTCTGTAACCAAGCTTCTATCCTGGCACGATCTCGGTATCCTTTCGATGCCACGAGATCGCCGGCGAATATATCTCGATTTGGTCCATTAATTGCCTTCTGATATTTGGCTTCTCGGGGATTTTATGGAGTCATTTGGAACGAGTTTCTTGGTAGTGGTGTTCATAGTCCATCTCCACTCGTCACCACGCTACAACAGTCCTCCATTTGTTTAAAATTACAAGTGTTTCAGGTTCGTTGAGATCCACTTTATCTCGGCTCCGAATCAACCTGGACAACAGGATCTTTCATGTCAAGGTATGTTGAGTGCAAACGAGTCGGAAGACCTCAAAATCAGAATTTTCGCGATCAGCAATCCTAGATCTACCTTTGTCATGGATCTTTGTTAACAACCTATTAAATAAAATTAACTCGTCGGTACTGATTTATGCAGATGACGCGATGATCCTGAGGTTCATCAAAAGTGATAAGAGATTCATTATAGCTTCAAACGGCCCTTGTAACAATATTGGAATGAGCAATAAACAATAGGTTACTACTTAAACGGTCGAAATGTCATATATTAAACATTCTGCCTCATTTAAACCAAAACGCCTACACCCCTCATGAAAATTTGCTTCAAAATGCCATCTATGTGTGTGATCTCGGGCTGGTAATCACAGATAGGTTGGACGGCAGCTGAAACAGCAAGGGGAATCCCGTTTAGGTGTACACGAATCTGCAATTTATGCAAAGTTACTTTTGAGCAATCATCCCAGAGTTATTCTTAACACTGTTTAAAACGTATGCTTAGCCTCACCTTGAATTCCACAATATCGTTGTGTCCACTGTTTTTCAAAGAGACCTAAATTTGAACAAGTACAGGGACGGATAACCAATTGAGTGATAGCACAACAGGCTGCAAACACTGATATTATTCTCATTGAGATACAAGAGTGTAAGAGGTGATATGGTAATGGCATAAAATATGTTAAGAACGACAAGCCACCTAGCGCGAGCATATAACCAGATTATCATAACCATGCTCCTTGAGGAAACTTTCAGAAAATTGCACGTCAAAGAGCGAACACATAAGTACCCTCTCACTATTTCTCATCAATAGTGACCTCAATTTGATATTCTACCCCAACCGAATTGACCGCAGTCCACTTCAGCGGATCACTTCAAGAGGGGACTGGACAATGGTGTACTTGCTCACAGCCGCTGTCATACAGGATCAGTCTGACCTGTCAAACAACAAGTCCACAAATAAATAACTCACTGATTAGAATTAGTGCAGTCGAGTGGATAGAGTATCACATATTGGACACCATAAAATACTTGAAATCACACCGAAACAACAAGAAACGAGCTCAATGTTATCAAATACAAGCTGATTACGAAGACATTGGAAACCAGCCGTAACTAGGTCTGTAGATTCCGTAAGTAAATATTTTTTGCAGTCAGGAACTGTTAGTTAGTTTCAAGACATAAGAGTTAGGAAGTAAATTGATTTACACTCGCTCGTCACATAGGTGTTGGAAGACATTGGATATTCAACAGTAGTGGTTGATTTGAGCTTAGTCGGATGACGGAGTTCTGGATAATATCTGTACCTGGGGAGCGGGATCCAAATCAGGTGTATCAGCGTCTTCAAACCACATTGTCTAAATATAAGGATATCTGCTCGCAGATCAACAAATTCAATATTCCTCCTGACTTCAAGGTATTTGTGTAGATGTCAGATGATTTAGAAGCTTTAGGTGGGAACGCTGGATATTCTCGTGGGTCTTTCTGATGAGCTGTCAAAATTAGATGTGTATGCTGAGAGGTAATTGTCTAATAGGTTCAAATAGCAGCCCAAGTATTACCAAGAAAGTTGCCCAGTACATGAGCGATGTACTCGAAGAACAAAAACACAAGTTGGAAGACAACTTGACGGTAAATGGACGTATGTTCGATTTCTTATTTTTATATCCTCAGTTTCTCCTGCCGCGTTCCTCGCCAAATTCCAGTGGGATTATGCTAAATATCCAGTCAAACAAACGTTAAGTTCACTATATGCTATTATTTCAGAGGTATTTTTATTTCACGCCAAGTAATATTGTTTATAGCAACTTACTAAAATAGATTCGGATTTAAAAGCAAAGTCTCAGTCATATAATACCTTAAAAGGTTGTCTTCAAAATCTAGAACGAAAGCAGACGTAAGCAGTATGTTTTTAAGTACCTTAAATTCCTTTAGGGGTAGTCTCTTAACACGCGAGCTTGGAGATATTGTGAAGCGAGAACAATTTATTGTTGATTCGGAATACCTAACTACTCTAGTTGTTGTTGTTCCAAAGTAAGTTTTTTTGGATATATTTATTATCAGGAATATGTATAATGATTGGAAATCTAATTATGAAAGAATGACAGATATGGTCGTTCCTAAGTCGTCTGAGTAATTTGCAATCCCTTTTTGTAACCGATTAAGACTTATTTTTGAAGATCAAGATAATGGCCTGTGGACTGTTACGCTCTTCAAAAAAATGACGGATGATTTTAAAACTCAGGCTCGTGAATTTAGGTTTGTTTAAATATTCAAAACCATTTGTTAGGTTTGTTGTACGTGATTTTACTTATGATGAGAAGAAAATCGAGGAAAGTAGAAATGAGCTGTCGAAACTTGAGTCCGATAAGAAAAGACAGTTTGTAAGTCGGTTTATTTTTGTTATTAATACCGCCTTATGGAATTTTTGTCACATAAATATTTCCTTCCTAAAGTCAGTAAGCTGTTCGATTTTAAATGTATTGAGCCATATGCATTTCTTTAAACCTCATCCTGCCAACACTTTTTGGAACAACAAATATTGAAGACAGATAATCACGCTTCTCGTTATGTATTTAGTAGTCGTTTACAGGCGTTTGATAAGAAACTGTTTCCATTTTGTTCTTTCCAGTCACAAGTGGTGCGTGTCTGTTGGTCAGAATATGACTTAATGAAGGAAAGCCAAATGATTAAAACAAACATCTCGTTTTTCTACCAATTAGAAAGCAGTAACGAGAATCACGATTGTACTTAATTGAAGATCACTGGGATGGATAATATAAGAAATTACTTTCAAAATAAGGTTGTTTTCCCTGGTTCATAAGATAGCATTTGCACATTATTGCATATAGCTAAGTTGTACCTTGATTGTCTACAGTATGATGCTTTTTCCAATCATCTTGATTTAAGTGCATAACTTTTTTAAATTCCTAACTAGGCACCTCTGTTTCGTTGGTTGAAAGTTAATTTTGGTGAGGCTTTTTCTGCTATGGTTCATATTAAAGCCCTCCGGGTATTTGTTGAGTCAGTTTTAAGGTAAGAAGTTTTATTTTCGTCAACTTATCTACTACCTGTTTAGTTTGTAGTTATTTTATGTCACCTATGATCGTTTAAAATGCATATGGAACCCTGTTAATCATTCTATTCCAATTTGAAAGGTTAAGTGATGGAAAGTACTTCCATGGTAGTCTTGTGGCATAGGAAGCAGTTGAACCGAGTTAAAAGTCATTATACTGATAATAAACATTATTGGGGTAAATACGTGGTACTAAAAATGATAGTGATTAGATAAATTTACTCTGATCAAGGTTTCCCACTGTTGTATGATATTTTTCTGTCGATGATCTAAGGATAAATGTGGTGTGTTCGTAATCCCATTTAGTGGTTCCCAGTATCCAGGTTCGTTTAAGTATATGGTATCTCAAAATACATACGTTGCAAAGACATTCGCTTACTATCAACTCGAGACTAATTTTCAGTTGTAAACAAAATGGAAAAATTAAGTCTAATGTGAGTAACAAATGTAACCGTATCTAGGAGATCAGAATCTGGCAGAACCTATACTGAGTATTTGTCAGTCGTGCATACTATACTAGTTGAAATAATGTTCAGAACTAAAATAATAGATTTGCGGAATCATTTATGCTAATGGTTTTATAAACTTTTCGCGGATAGTCGTCAAGTCTGGTGAAGGAATATTCACGATCATGCTAAGAAGTTGCTTTATTGTGGCTCAGACAGTCCCAGTTGATATAGGTAGCAAACATGTGGAGTGCTTACGGTTCATGTTTTGAATAAAATATTTTGATTGTGGTCAAGTCACTCGTAATTGTAGTAAAATAAATCTGAAACAGTTTAGACAATATAAGCATTTATTTTTAGTTGTCACGATTTGGAGTTTCAAAATAGAGGTGATACCATAACCATGTAAAGGCTTTTGCAATAACGAGTTACTCATGAGGGAGCTTATAATGCGAATTGAACGTCTTTAAGTGGAATGGAATTCACATCAAGCTTACAATCCTTGTGGTATCACTATTGTGGACTATTACGAAAAGCAGGTAAGGTATCTTACAAGGGCAAAAGATTTACTGTCCAGCGAAAATACCTATCATTATATTTCCCAAAGCTGAACTGTAATCCTGATTTTACAAGTGAATGAAACAACAATATTGAATAAGGATATCTATTTTTAAGATCTCAACATGTTTGCACAACTAGTAAATGTACTTTCAAAGGTGAACACCTAACCAAAGTATTTTTAAATGTGACATTTCTGTTGCTTTGTATCCGGATGTACAAATAAGTGGTAATCCTGCTGCACTGAATTTGTTCTGTTACATCATATGCTAATTCTGAAGTAATTTTCCGTCTTGTTGTAGATATGGATTACCGGTTGATTTTCAAGCGATACTCCTTGAGCCAAACAAAAAGCAGCAAAAGAAATTAAGAGATATACTAAAACAACTTTACAACCATCTGGATGGGTCGTCTTCAAGCTCCGTCTTAGATGTAAGCGTTAACATCTATTCGTATATTTATTACTGTGGCACATAACAGAATTATTCGTAATTGCATAAAAACCTGTGCTTAATTGATATGTTTGAATTTATAAGTGTAGTATTGGGGTGCGAGATATAAAACAGTGTTCTTATGTCTGTACAATATGTGTTCCAGTGTTATTGATAATAAGTTTCTTTTAAACAGGTTAAATGTTACACACAAAATAAGTGTTTGTTGCACATTTGAAAGTAAATTTTCGCGTTAGATTTTCAGTCGTAAATGACCTTTTCTCAATTAGTTATATTTAAATAAAAGATTATTAATGAGTTTATAGGTATCATATCAAGGTTGGACTTAAGTTTCAAATAAATTGATCACTGGGTAGAGAGTTAATAATAAATACATTTTTTGATATCCCAATCAGTAGGAAAATTGTATATATATTTCTGATGTAAGCCACTCTAAAGAAGTGGATTGCATCATCACAAAATGTCAGAAATACAATTTTTCTACTCATTGGGATATAACAAAATTATATATTTATTATTTTAAATAAAAGTTTCTAGAATAGGACCGAAAAGTCTGTTCTTATCTCAATACCCCAAGGTTAATAGGGAAGGCTTTTGGATACGTCTTCACAAAGACTTTTAAACTGAAATGTAATAAATGTGAATCTTAGCAAGTACGGATCTGAAATATTCCAATCGTATATTTTTTTCAGACAAAATGAGGGGTGTGGTTGGTTTCGCTTGATATATAGACACTGGTTAGCCTATATTTCAGGGATGCCCTGGTACGGCCGAGGGTGGGAAGAGTGATCACTCCCGAAATGCTCTCACATGGCCACGCGTATACAGCCACTGCAAGGGAAGTACTACTCACTTCCTTCTCGTGGCAGGAGTGTTGTTTACGAAATTGAGTGGACGAAAAGCGAATATCCGGCGCTTTAACCGGGCCGGTGAGTCCACCTAAGGGAGTTGGAAAACCCTGATTTAAACCAATGGTGCACGTGGGCTCTAGTATCCTGACGGAACAAATGGCATATGAACCAATCGTTGGTTACCGGCTACCACGGGACTGCATCTCACGATACTCCACTGCCTTGTGGATCAGACCTTTAGGCCAAAGGCTCGGGGTGTGGCCCCTTAAGAAAACCATCTGCTTCGGTTTAGGCGCCCAGGTAGTATCACAGCCCTCACACAAATCAAACGAGATTTATGTGGCGCATATGAATAATAATAGTATTTCAGGAATGCACAATGTAGTTTTGGTCGTAGAATGGATTTCAAAAAAATTCTAATGATGTTTACTGAAGTGCTACATCTTCAACAGAAAATCTGTTATGGCATAGCAAATCAAAGTTTTCCGCGAAATACTTACAGAGGATCTGTTTTGAGTACAATAACCTACGTCATTTCCCCTCCACAAAAGTAGCTATTTGTTTAAATATAAACATGTTTACTGTGACAATTGTTTTGTTCGTAATTTCACTTGTTTACATTAATTTTACTAAAACGTTAATTTCAATACACACATCCCTTTTGTTGAACTTTATTTGTCTCTGCGAATGTCTCTTTACAGGAAGATATGAATGTTGGAAGTTTCGGGGCTTCATCGGACTATTTTCCTTATGTTTCATTCAAAGTTGAGCTAAATATGATAGATGTGCGTTGATGGTCAGGGATAAACTAGTTCCGCAGCTCATTCCATTGTATTGATGTGATAATGCAATCAATAAAATGAAAAAAAGCATAATATACTTTAGAATTTTCTCTTTTTAGCATTTCTGTCTTCTTAATTTACTCTCTTTTTATCTATCCTTGTTAGTTGATATTTTCACAAACACTTGATTTACTTGGCCGGCATATATATATACACCTAATAATCTGTCTTAATACATTGGAATAAAAATCATTTTATTTTCAAAATACCTTAATTATTGTTCTATTTAAATACAATGTATTAAAGCATCAAGTGTATTTTGCTTCCAAGTTATCTTATGTAAACGAATGCAAAATAGAAAATAGATAGTAGCATTGTGCATGATTTAATTATAAATCCTCGTGTATGTATAATACAGAATTATATATACTGTGTGTAGAATAATTTAAATCAAGGATCTAATTAATGTTCTAAATTTTTTCCGTCTGAATATGATCTATGGTTATTCGTTTTCCTTGTCTGACGATAGTGATTGTCAGTTGTTCTCGGCTTTCAGTTGCAGTGTAAACTTGTTGAGCATTCGTTATAGGCAGACCATCAATGGCAACAATTACATCTCCAGCTCTTAGTCCTGCCCTGCAAAATAAATGTATAAAATTTATGCTGAATCTCAATTACTAGAGATTAATATTACAAAGTTAATTAGTAGAAGAAAATCGTTGTCGGAAGCCAATTAACTGTGCAAGGTTTCTGTTTTTTCTTTATTGCTTTTAATATGCCTCACGTTCTAGAATCATTATACCGACCATAGTTTGTTTCTCTCCTCCCGAATGAAAAATGTCGCTTTAGGATTGGTTTGCGTCAGATTAACGATAGGAAAGAAGTAGAGCGCGCCAACTGCTCAATTCATTAATCGACGTCCGCCTATGGTTGTATTCTTTGACCTAAAAGCAACGTTTAAATCCGTTAATCGTGAGGTTCTCTGGAAATGTTTGTCATTGAAAGGCGTACGCAAGAATTACTGTACATGCTCACTATCCGAACGCTACTGGTCGAGTCAGAGCTTATGGCGAACTGTCATCGAATTTGGTTACTTCAAGTGGCGTTTGTAAGAGCTTTCCCCTCTTCCCATTTTTATTTAACCTTGTCGTAAACTTGCTTTTAGAGATAACGTTTTCATCGTCCGACTAGGAGGTTTACTTGTTGACTTAAAAAATGCAGATGATATAGTACTGTTCGATGAAGACACTAACGAAATACAGTCTTCCGAACACCTCAAGCAACAATGCAATTATGTAAAGTGTCGCTTTAGAATTGGATTGCGTGAGCGCTCGAATTAACGATAGGGAGAGAATTATTTGAACTCACTGACCACTTCACTCATCTTGGGAGTTTCGTCAGTCCTGGTGGTGTGGTGTGTAACGAAATCTAAACATGGGTTCAGAAGGCTCGTTCGGTTTGGTCGACGTGCGTCAGTGGTGTAGGTGAGATATCCGTTTATCGAACAAAGGACGAGTTTACTGTGCAGCAGTTCACTCTGTCCTACTTCATGGGTATGAAACATGTCCATTAAGGGTAGAGGATATTGGTATTCGATCATAGGTGTACTTAAAGTAGTAGCCATGTATTTTGGGACCACGGAGTAAGCAGTAGCCGGGTTAGGAATATGGCACTAGGTAAGGATGGCAAGTCGACTGACGGGGTCGTAAACTCCTAAGGTAAATTCCTCGAGACGTCTTGTGCTTCCATTTCACCATACATTTTTTGAAGCATATCTTCGTTGTGTAATCTTCACCATTACCACTCAGACTGTTACCGTCTCTACTATTCTGGGATTTGACCGGAAAACTTCCTGTCTTTATGCTAATGGGGTATAACGATTTGGATCGATGTACAAACGTGCCGGGTCCTGCATTGTGGCTGACTAACTGATCAAATCTTGTAATACAATGGGAATGGAGCTTCTTAATCATGGTGGAGTTGCTGCGTTGTGTAAAGTATTAATATGTGTGATATTTGAGTTAGTAAATTCTACCCACAAATATGCATAAACGACGTTCAACAAATAAGTGTATATTGTGAAATAAGTGTACTAAACTGGGTCGTCGATATAAACACTTGTTGAATAGGGATTTGCTATTTAAAATAGAGTTAGAATCAACTGATAGATAATTTCCGGATGTGATTGTTTTTCTCAGAGTTCTTTTTTGTAAACAAATAATAGTTTGAAGCTATGTTGAAATATTAAATTTATGTAGAGTAATTCCTCTTCAAAGACATTAGGAAATAATGTCGATTATAGTGAAATCGTTGATACTACTTTAAGTGAAATCTGTTTTTTTTTTATTAGAAAATTATTATAAGTCAGTATGATTATCGGTTAATTTGTGTAATAAACTAGACGAGTATATCGTGAGTTTATAACAATCTAAATGGGAGGCTGAAATTGTACTTGCGAAATTAGTTACGAAAAAGCTTTTTAAAGATAATTTAAACATCCTTTAAATGTGTTTGTAATTTTTTAAAGCTATTTATCCGAGTTAGTAAAGGAATATATATAAAATTATCACTTCAAGCTTTTAAAGAGTTTTGTAACATTGATTAAGAACTATATCTTCAGTGTTACTACTCTACTGAACGGTGATTTAAAGGTCAACAGTAACCACTCCATCTATCTATTGGGATTTGTAAGTGGCAAAAAGAAGCCCATATTGAATTGTATTTAAGACTCGCTAAAACCTACATAGAAGCAAAGTTTCTTTATGGAGCTGATTAGTAGCGAAACTTTATGGAGGACCGAACGTCAAATAAGTAGATAGATTCCACACATGATTGAAGTTTTACAGGGAGCATGGCTTCTTGAGTATAAAAATAATGTTTAAAAATTTTAATTCAAAATGCAAATGTCATGATAATCAAAAACTTTTAATCAAACCTTGGTAGTGTTAGCAAATTTATAATTCCTAATAATAATAGTCATGATAAGAAGATTGTTAATAGTTCTAAGCTATTGACTTGTAAATAAGTGATAATAATGGTTTGTAGACATTTTGACAAGTTAATTTCTTTTTGATGAAAAATAAGTGGTTTTCTACAATTTATTCAAAGTGATACGAACTTACTTTTGAGCAGGGGAGTTTCTCAATACAGCATGAATCAGAACACCATTCAACTCTACAAAATGTTGTCCACCCCGTGATGCCAATTCGAAAGCCAGTTCCGGAGTAAGCGTTCGCATAACTAGGCCTAAGTATCGACGTTGAGTTCCGCTTTCGGAATTGGTTGGATTGTCAGCTAAAATGTACGGATCAGTAGGCGATGCTGACGATACTGGGGAAGAGCTTCGAGTATTTGAGGATGCTTTTAGTGCTAACTGTATGAATTTTCGAACTTGATCAACAGGTATGGCAAATCCCACTCCTGTACCAGCCACCATAGCGTTAACCCCAATAACTTCACCATATAAATTCACCAGTGGACCACCGGAATTGCCAAACTCAAAAAATGCAGAAAGAAACCGTAATTAACAATTAAACTTCAAGGTCCCGCACGCGGGACTCGAAACCAGGACTTTCGGCCTCGCTTAACGTCTAAATCACTGGGCCGGCGACCAAGTGTTAACGTCTAACTTCAATCGATCCATGATCTTACACAACCATTTATCCATTGTCTGAGGTGGATAAATATCTCCACCCGATACAGATTGGACTCCATTGGTCACGGTTCGAGTACCCCTTGAGGAATCGTGGATGAGCACTGCCGAGGAGTCCCATACTAGGACGGAACGCCGTCCACTGCTTCCAGGTTTTCGATGGTGGTCTAGCTTAGATTGACTCGTGGATTCAACTGCTAAAATACTACAATCTTCACAAATCTCCATACTGATAACTAAACTTTAGTGTCGGTAATAAAATGTTTTAAACAGATAAGAAAAAACTGACTAACCTATGTTGGATCCCGGATGTTAACACAGGGTGTAAAAGAAATCAAGGGATTTCAATCAGCTGTTATTGTAAAAGCATTTAATCAACGATTCTAACCGTTGTGTAAAACTGAATTTATACACAGCAATTAGTTATGTCAGAAATATTGTATTGTTCAAGTATTTTATTTATTTAGTTATGAAACGGTCCTGCATAATAATCTTACACTGAAGGTGACTTCTCATCCTATTAGGAATATATTTCAGTTTGGATCACGAAGCTTTTTTATTTTGAAAACACTATCTTAGCAGCTATCATGAATATAGTGATGCAACTCATCAAGTCCAAGTCCGTGTACTCGGATATGAACCATAACTTTGAGTATATAAGTTATCTATAATACCCCGTTACCCAAACTGAACTAGCTAGAACGAGATTTGAGCATGAAGACTATTGGTTGAGAGTCAAACGGCATTGTGAAAAAAAGAACGAGGAAGACATGATAAAAAAATGAAAGCTAGTTTTTGGGAGACTGTTTAGCCTAATTTGTAATCTGTAAATTACTATAACATTCAGTTATATGCCTGTTTCATCCCATAAATCATAAGTGTTCGATTAATCTATAAATTGTCGTCATATTTCCTTCTGTTCTAAAATTATTTTAATTTAAATATAGTTCTTGTATCCTAATTTTTTTACTCTAGTGTCCTAGTTTGGTATAACTGTATTTTTCACATTCTTTCGGCATTGTGATTCTGCTATTCATATATTCATTCATGTGTCTTTTGCAGTCAGTTGAATCAGATCTAGAGTTTCTCGCCATAATCATCTTCTTCCTTCGCTTGCCAACCGACCAGCTTGTTAGACAATGACAAAATAATCTTTTCTCTCTGCCCTCAACGCTGTCCAATCACAAAGTCGAAATTATGTGTTGCATTCTCAAGCTTGAACTAAGCAACCTAGCCCATCAAGGACGCAAACTAATTTGAGACAATTCTATCTGTAAAATAAGTACAGATCAGTGGATAGATAACGAATTCGGAATAGTCCTGGCCAATAAGCTACCGCTTCATATAACTGTATTCAACTACAGTTCTCATATCAGTGGAGAGAATCAAATATTTAGTGAATTCGGTACACAAGTTGACTGGAAGAAACATCTCTAAGGAAATATATTTATTTTATGTCGAAAGCTTTTCGAAGACGTAATCTTATGGAACGTTTTTGCATAGAACAGCTCGGTTGATCATGGTAGAAAACGAGGTTTTTAATTTAGAATAGATGGAATATGGCTAATGGTGGGAAACAAAATGTGCGCTTCGTCCTATTTGGGACTCGTTAGCTGAATGTACCTGCATCATTGTTGATATTCACCACGTGACTCG